ACATATCCACGATATGTTCTCATGCATTATTCACATTTAATCACATACATACAATATGCATTTACAACATCTATCAAGCAATGCACACATATCCATGACATGTTCTCATGCATTCTATTCATACCACCATATACCAACAATATACATTCACAATTCAATATCATCACCGCATTATCAACAATGCACACATATCCACAATATGTTCTCATGCATTCTCAAGTAATTCATCATACAAGAATTACATCATGCTTACACGCATAACACATTTACCACGCAATGTACATATATTCACGATATATTCTCACTCATTGTTCATACATAATCGCATCCAATCAATACAAACATCATATTTATCAAACGATGCACGCATATCCATCAATATGCTCTCATGCATTCTTCATGTATCTTAACATACAACCGCATATAAACAATATACATCCACAATACATTTTTGTATTATGTTTATTATTCATCTCATGCCATTTCATACAAGGTATACATGTCACAGTACCAATAATACAATTATAAGCTATGCACACATATATCCACAATGTTCTCATGCATACTTATTACCTAATTGTACACTACATCAAACCTTCACAAACTCATCAAATAATACGCACATTACCATTATTAAATAATACACACATAATCATTATCATGTTCTCATGTATTTATAATCGATCTGATTAATGCTCATACCACAAGTCTAGGATTCACGCCCAAAGGCTACCCACAACACATATCATCACCATGGATCACATACTTATTCATATCATAGAGGTATTAACCTATGTGAATCAATCAAACAATCACCACATGAGCAACACAGCAAAAGAAAAATGCTGTCACATTCGCCTTCATTCGCCTGGCGAACCCTCGCAGCGAACCTTCGCCTGGCGAACTCTCTCAGCGAACACTCGCTAGGCTTCGCCTGACGAGACTTCCCAGCGAGCCCAAGTCAGTAGCTACTGACTTCATTCGCCACCATTCGCCAGTACCTTCGCTGGGCGAACCTTCGCTATCCAACTTCGCCTGGCGAACTCGCCAGCGAAGTCCACTGGAACTTAAACTTAATTATTCGCCAGCATTCGCTGGGCTTCGCCCGGCGAAGCTTCGCCTTCACTCGCCTGGCGAGAGCCAGCGAACCTGCGCAGAACAGAACCCCATTCTGTCTTCTCCCTTTATCCCACCATCAACCAACCACTTAATCATCAAAATCAGCTCAAACAACATACCCTCATGTTACCCGACTATTCTACGGCATTATTTCCAAGTTTCAACCGATTAAATCATCATTCTACCGATTAATCCAACTTTCCCTAAAATGGAAAGTGATGAAAAACATCCACAAACCCAAACCCAACATACATAATAGCATACAATGATTAAATAGCAATGTTTCTCACCCTTACCTCGATTAATCGGAGCTTTGATGTTGGTTCTTGATGATTTTTCCACTTTTCCTCTTCTTCTCCTCTCTTTCTCTTCTTTCTTCTTTCTTTCCTCTTTCTCTCCAAATGTTTTCTCTCATTTCCTTTCTCTTCTTTCTCACTTATATATCCCTTTTATTTTCTTTCCTTCCAATTTCCTTTCAATTCTCTATTAATTCCAATTAATAAAAATTAATTCCAATATTAACATAAAATCCCACTAAATCAATTAATTACTACAATTAATTATTTAATGAAATTTGGGTTGTTACACCAACAATTTTCTACTTTTTCGTTACAATGAGTGTTATCCTCATAATATGATGTGTGTGTGTATACAGACACATACACAAACACAAACACACACACACACACACACACACACACACACACACACACACACACACACACACACACACACATACACACACACACATACACACACACACACACACACACACACACACACACACACATACACACACACACACACACACACACACACACACACACACACACACATTTCACCATGGTTGGTAATGTCAACTGTTGTGAAAGACATTTTATTTCATCATAATTTTTTAACACGACTGTGGTGAAATAGTTTACACATATATAAGCGAAATAACTCTCACTTCTTGACAGTATCGTCGTATTTCTCACATCAAAACCCTAACACATATTTTCTCTCTTCTTCATCATCATTAGATTTCCTATTCTACACTATTAACTCAATATTGTTCTTCATACATAAAGGTATTATTCTTCTTCTTCCTTATTCTCTTGTTTTCATGTGTGTTGTTGCTGTTTTGATAAATGTATGTCATTTGTTTTTTATAGATAAATGTATGTTTTTATTGTTGTTGTTATTGTTGACATGATTTTATTTTTGTTGTTGTATGCTTTCATGTATGTTGTTGTTGTTGTTGTTTGCATACGTTGTTGTTATGTTGATGTTATTGTTATGTATGTTGATAAAGGTATGTATGTTGTTGATAAATATTGTTGTATGTTGTTTTGTTTCAAAATATGCTTATGTTTTAATAGCTTGTTTCATAAATGTTGTATGTTTTTCTTGTTGTTTTGATAAATGTATGTCGTTTGCTTTTTGTAGATAAATGTATGTTATTGTTGTTTCTATTGTTGACATGATTTAACTTTATTTGTTGTATGTTTTCGTGTCTGTTGTTGTTGTTGTTCTTCGTGTATGTTGTTGTTATGTTGATGTTATTAGTATGTATGTCTATACAGGTATGTATGTTGTTGTATGTTGTTGTTGATGTTGTTTTGTTTCAAAATCTGCTTATGTTCCAATAGCTTATTTCATAAATGTTGTTGTATGTTGTTGATATTGTTGTTGGATATTGTTGATGTTGTTGTTGATGTTGTTTTGTTTGAAATTCTGCTTATCTGAATTTATTATTGTTTATGTTTCAATAAATTGTTTCATAATGTTTGAACCTTCTACTTGTTTTGACTTGTAGGTAGGGATGCTTGTTTCAATAAAGAGGATGAAGCTAAAGTGAACGATGCAAACTTGTGTGAAAGACTCATAATGACATCCATTCAATATTAACAGAAGTTTGCAGCTCTCACTTAAGCTTCATCCTCATTACATAGTGGATGCCATTTTGGGACAGGTACATACGTTTCTAAAACATTCTATGAGTTGATATATTTGTTGTATCTTGTTGATGAATTTTGTTGTTAATGTTTGTTTAAAAGATAGGTTTATTATATCTTATGTTTTTTTAGTGTTTTTTTAATCCCTTATCGAATATATAACTTTTCAGATTACATTAGAAAATTACAATATGATAGATAAAGTTATATTAAAAAATAATTATATGTTCAATTATTGACAAGAATTCTTCAATCCATTATATGTATTTTGTTCTTTAACCATTAGAACTTTATTTAATGCTCCTAATTCTTTCACTGCTCCTTTCTCCACCTCTAATTTTGTTTGCAAAATAAATAATATTTTGCAAAATGAATTAGAGGGAAGGAAGAAGAGGTGGAAGAACTAGGAGCAGTAAACAAAGTTCTAACTGTTAAAGAGTAAAATGCAGATAACTTGGTTGAAGAACTCTTGTCAAGCATTGAACGTGAACTGATTCTTCTAATATAACTTAATTTGTCATATTATAATGTTCTAGATCAGATTGAAAGGTTATATATTTAGTTAGCATTGATGAAATAAACATTCCACATAATTTACAATAAACTCAGTGTATATATCACAACTGTTGTTTATACCAACTGTTGTTAAATGTTATGTTAAGAATATCAAAACAGTTGTCTAAAGTAACTATTGTGATAGGTAGCGCGCTATATATCGTATAATCACGGGGGCACGACCGTGATGGAAAACATCATACATACAACAACTCCTTACTTCATAACGGTTGGTCACACGTGATGGTATGTCTTTTCCAACCATTGTGAAATGCCTTTTACATAGTAGTGTATATGAGGTGAGTGGAAAGTAGAAAAACAAGAACATGAAAAAATGCTTCCTAGTGACGATGCAAAATGATCTTGGAAGATCTTTTTCTTTAAGTGTTGATGAACTTTGGTACGACAACCTTCATTAAATTTGTCTGATGAGATGTACTTGTAAACACTTTGACGAAAAAGTTAATAATGATTGTAAGTATAACAAATATGGTTTATAATAATACGTATTTGAGATTGGTTTGTTTTTGCAGACTTTATTTTAAGATCTTAGAATTTAAAAATCCTTGAATTTTCTTTTAGATACATTTGTCTCAGAAGATACGCGTTTGTAGATTATGTCAATTCTTATGGAACCGATTAACTATGATCTGATGTGCCTCGAGGGCATGACCACATTATGACTTTGATGCTCTAGATATTTTTTAGGAACAATAGTCTCAAAGAGCAACTATCAAAGAATCTAATAACCCATATAACCTAATGACCTTGATCTAGTATAAAGTTAGGTTGCGACCATCTCACAATTTTCTTGGATTTATCATTTCTCATGGCCGATGCTAAATAGTTTGGGCCTTATTCCGGACCAAACTAAATAACCTACCAACACCAACAAAATTTAAGAATCCAAGTCTCATGTGAATCAAAGGTGGAGCCATGCATGTCACACAATTGGTTAAAGATAGTACATATGACTATTAAACACTAGACTATAAAATGAAGAAGAATAAATGAATGGTCCCATATATCACCAAAAAAACAAAAAAGAATGGTCCCATGCTTTAAATACTAATGTGATATTCCCGCGACAACACAAAAAAGTACTACTCCTATTACTAGTGACACACAAACTTTGAAGTAAAAGCGATAGAGTTTGAGTTTCCACAGTAAGTACACTAACTGTAGCAGCTCCTTCGTGGTCCCTTTCCATCACCGCAACTTCACTCCAGTTCCACCTCAATAATGCTGCTTAATTATATAATCTTTCACTTTGATTCCAAATCTCAAACATAGTTATAATCACATTCAGTTTTAACAAACACTTAGTCAGACAAAACGGGTCTCCCTCTTTGGTTGCTTGGATTAGGTCCTGACCTTTTGTGGGCCGACATGAACCGCCTCCTCTCCTTCCTCTTCCATCAGGTATGTATCTTGTTAAGTCAGTTTAGTTGATAGTTGTCCAGAGATATTAGATAATCTCTACTACTAAAAGAAAAAATCTATAGATAGTTTTTTCTTTCTTTCTTATAGGGAGTATTGGATGAACAATTCTTGCAGCTCCAGCAACTACAAGATGAGACATCACCAAACTTTGTCTCCGAGGTTGTCAACATATATTTTCACCAGTCCGAGAAGCTTCTTAGGAATCTCAGAACTTTGCTGTAATAATCATTCAATCTCTTATTACTATCCTAGTTAATAATTTTAGTATATATATTTTTATTGAATTATAATTTTTAAAATGTGAGTCAATGAATGAACGAATACAGGATGGAGAGAGAGTTCATGGATTATAAGAAAATGGGAATTGATTTGAATCAGTTCATGGGTAGCAGTTCAAGCATTGGTGCAAAAAAAGTCACTAATGTTTGTGTTGCCTTTCGTGTCGCAACCGAACAGAACAACCGTGCCGGGTGAGTGCCTTACTCCTCTCTAAATATAACACTGACACATCAATATAAATAACAACTTGAAAAATAATATGTGTCAGTGTCAGACACGTTACACTACGTCAGACACGTCATTATTCAGAGGTGTCAGAGTTATAGACGTATAGTCTAATATATATTTTTCTAACTAACTGCTGTTATATGTTTAATCTGCAACCAACAACCAAATGCAGATGCTTCCGGGCATTGGAAATGCTGGAACATGAATATTGCTATCTCAAGAACAAATTGCACGAACTATTCCAAGTAAAGTTGCACTCATCTTAGTGATTACTGAGGCAAATTTATAGATAAATATTATTAATTATGTGAGTAAATTTATGAAACATGTTATAATTATTTATGTTTATGATATGTTAATGAACAGATTGAACAGCAACGTGCATTAGCAGCTGGAGTGAGGTATCCAGTACAGAATGAATAAAGTAGAATTAAAGAAATGATGATTAGATATGTGTAACAATTTTTGTTTCTTTTCTTTTCTACTTTTCATGTCAATCTTTTCTGGTTTCGTAAGGCTAAGGGCACGTCTTTCTTGTTTTAGACAAACCAAGTTAAACATACCTTTTGTACTTGGTTGTGTAGGGAATAGGAAGAAAATAAGGGGGGTCACTAGATTTTGGATTCTCTTATTTATGTGGTGGGATCCTGTTGTTATGCTTTGATGTAACTCTTTTGATTTTTTTGAATTAAAGTGAATCAAATCTGTTGAAAGTTTCTAGTGTTTTTTTTAGGTTTACTATTCATAGAAGTTATGCTGCATTTGTGTTTTAGCTATAGAGAGAAATTGATAGGAAAATGGATCGAGTTTCTTTATATTTATTTTAATTGTTTTGTTATTTTTACACTAAGGCGTACATTTACACCATATATGAACAGTGCAAATATATTAAAAAAATGACAAAGTGTACAAGTTTGTTATTTAATGTTAAAACATCATTTGATTCTGTGGGCCATAGTCAAATGAAGAAATTTATTGATTTATTGTTTCTTTTTCTTAACCTCAACCACATATGTTGTACTTTATAACATAAAATATGCTAACTCATTCTTCTTCGTGTTCTTGATCATTTGCGCCATTTTTTAGCAGCTCTTCTCCAATTTGTCTTTTCATTTCATCTGCAACTTTTCGTTTCATTTCATCTCCAACTTTTCTTTATTTAACATCATTATGTTATGAAGATGAAGATTTAACTCAGTAAGTTTCTAGATTCATGATTTTCATGTTTTTAGATTTAGCACAATGTTAACCTAGTTTTCTTTACTGTTAGTGATTTCATGGTTATTCACGATTATTCATTAACCATGTTCTAAAGAGTATTGCCCTACTTTACTCACACCATTAATCATGTTTACCTACTGCTAAACGATTGCATATATTTACTCATGCTAGTTTGTTAACCAATTTGAGAAATGTATTAACCAGCTTTTGTCACACCATTAACCAACTTCATTATAAACAATGTTATAAACCTGCCTACATGTCTGGGCGTTTATTAAATAAGTTATAGACAATATTAACCAACATTGTTATAAATTTATACTATACATAATATTGACATTTATGTGCAGTTTTTAAGTCATAATGGACAATTCAAGCATTTTGATAGAATGTGATAGTAGTCGAAGGGAAGATGTAGAATTTGATCACAGTGATGATGATGAATCACTTTGGGTTCCTGCAATTGGGATGTATTTTTCATGTCTAGAGTATGCTTTGAAAAAGGGGTTTGGATGGAGGATTAGATCATCGAAAAAAGGAGACGACGGGGAGCTCAATTACTTGATACTTTCATGTTCAAGAGAGGGGTCTAACATGTCAAAAATTTCATGCAAGTTAAAAACACTTCCATCTAGAGCGAAAAATTCTTCTACCAAGATTTGTATTAAATTAAAACAAGATGGTTTATGGTACATTACACAATTTGAGGCAAACCATTCTTATGAGACTAGTCCTACAAAAGCAAGATTGTTCAAGGCTAACAAGAAAATGAACTTACATGTAAGGAGAACAATTCAAATCAATTATGATGCGGGAGTAAGGATCAACAAGACTTTTCAATCGTTTGTTAAAGATGCAGGAGGGCATGAAAATATTCCCTTTTGTGAAAAAGATGTGAGGAATTATATTAACAAAGAGCGTCGTGCGATTGGAAAAGGAGGCGATGGTAAGGCTTTGATAAGTTATTTTTGTAAAATGCGGGAACAAAATATAAATTTCTTTTATGACATAGATTTGGATGATGATTTTCATGTGAGAAATGTATTTTGGGCGGATGCAAGAAGCAGAGCCGCGTACAAAGACTTTGGAGACTTTGTAACTTTTGATAGAACATACTTGACTAACAAGTATGATATGCCTTTTGCTGCATTCGTGGGTGTGAATCACCATGGTCAATCAATATTACTTGGTTGTGGATTGCTATCAGGTGAAGACACGAATTCTTTAGTGTGGCTGTTCAAGTCATGGCTTCGTTGTATGCTAGAAAAAGCACCTTTGGGCATTGTGACTGATCAGTGTAAGGCTATGAAAAATGCTATTGAGTTAATATTCCCTACAACTCGTCATAGGTGGTGTTTATGGCATATAATGAAAAAAGTTCCAGAAAAGCTTAGCGGATATGGGGAATACAAAAGGATCAAGTATGCAATAAAAGAAGCAGTGCGTGATACATTCATAACAGATAGTTTTGAACAAAATGGTGTTCGTTCATAGAAAAATTTGATCTCCATGAAAATGATTGGTTGGGTGGGTTGTATATTGAGCGTCATAGATGGGCACCAACATTGTTAAGGAAATATTTTTGGGCCCAACTACCAAGGACCCAACGCAATTTGGGTACCTAACACTACTTGATTTTGTGTTGTAGGTATGCTTGAAGACAACTTCTAATCAATGGTATCTTGATAGCGGTTGTTCTAAGCATATGACGGGAGACATAAACAAATTTTCAAGTCTATCATTAAAGGCCAAAGGATACGTTACTTACGGTGATGATAATAAAGGAAAAATTCTTGGAGTTGGAACCGTTGGTGCACCTCCATGTACAATCATCGAAGACGTTCTTTATGTGGAAGGCCTTAAACACAACCTACTTAGCATAAGTCAATTGTGTTACAAAGGGTTCCGAATCAACTTCACGAAGGAGGAATGTTTGATTGAACATGAAGTCACTCATGACATCTTGCTAAAAGGTAAATGATATAATAATATTTTTATGATCTCTTTTGATGACTCTTCTTTGAAGGTAAAATGTCTTATGGCGAACAACAACGAGGCGTGGCTTTGGCATAAAAGATTTTCTCACATTCACTTGGAGCATTTAAACAAGTTGATAAAGCATGATCTAGTTTTTGGTCTTCCGAAGATAAAATTCATCAAGGATAAGTTATGCGATGCATGTCAAAAGGGAAAACAGACCAAGACAACTTTCAAATCCAAGCAAGGGGTTTCTACATCAAGACCACTGCAATTGTTGCATATGGATCTCTTTGGTCCATCGAGAACGAAAAGCTTCGGAGGTAGTATTTATGCTTTAGTTATTGTTGATGATTTCTCTCGATACACATGGACATTGTTTTTAGTGCAGAAAAATGATGCTTTCAAAGCATTCAAGAAATATGCGAAGCAAATTCAAAACGAGAAATCACTCACCATAGCCTTCATAAGAAGCGACCACGGTGGAGAGTTCCAAAATTCAGATTTTGAAGATTTTTGCAAAGACCATGGAATTTCTCATAATTTTTCCGCACCAAGGACTCCTCAACAAAACAGTGTCATAGAACGGAAGAATGGGTCACTGGTGGAGCTTGCAAGAACAATGCTTAGCGACTAGAATCTTCCTAAGTACTTTTGGGCAGAGGCGGTAAGCACGACATGTTTCATAAGCAACCGTGTGAATATTCGACCAATTCTCAAGAAGACTCCGTATGAGTTGTTCAAGGGTAGGAAACCAAACATAGCATTTTTCCACATATTCGGATGCAAATGTTTTGTTCTCAACAACAATAAGGACAATCTCGGTAAGTTTGATGAGAAGTCCGACAAAGGTATATTTCTTGGTTACTCTCTTTCTAGTAGAGCTTTTAGAATTTTTAATAAAAGAACTCTTACTATTGAAGAATCCATTCATGTTTCTTTTGATGAGACTAACCCCTCGAAAGAGGATAATATTATTGTGGATGATGATGATGATATAGTAGGTTCTTCACAACAACAAGAAGAGACTTCAAAGAATCAAGCAATACCACAAGAAGATGTTACTCAAATCATCGAAGAACATCAAGATCTTCCGAAGGAATGGAGAACATATAGAGATCACCCGATAGATAAAGTTATTGGTGATATTAGCCAAGGCGTTGCAACTCGACTTAATCTTAAGGATGCTTGTCTCAACATGGCTTTTGTGTCTCAAATTGAACCAACCAAGATTGATGAAGCCTTAGGCAACGACCAATGGATTGTAGCGATGCAAGAAGAACTCAATCAATTCGAAAGAAATCGAGTTTGGAATCTCGTACCAAGACCAGACAACAAGCACATCATAGGAACGAGAGGGTGTTTAAGAACAAACTTGACGAGAATGGGATCATAGTTCGTAACAAAGCAAGATTGGTCGTACAAGGCTACAACCAGGAGGAAGGAATAGATTTTGATGAAACGTTCGCTCCGGTAGCAAGGTTAGAAGCAATTAGATTATTACTTGCTTACGCTTGTTCTATGAATTTTTAGTTGTTCCAGATGGATGTCAAAAGCGCTTTCTTGAATGGCTACATCAATGAAGAAGTCTACGTCAAACAACTTCCGGGTTTTGAAGACTTCAAGAATCCCTCGCATGTTTACAAACTGAAAAAGGCACTCTACGGACTGAAACAAGCACCAAGAGCATGGTATGACCGCCTTAGCAATTTCCTATGGGAAAAGGGATTTACAAAAGGAAAGGTTGACAAGACGCTGTTCATAAAGAGGATCAAGGGTAACACTTTATTGGTTCAAGTCTATGTCGACGACATCATCTTCGGATCAACAAACAAAGAGCTTTGCGAAGAATTTTCACTTATGATGCAAGGAGAATTCGAGATGTCCATGATGGGAAAATTGAATTATTTTCTTGGACTACAAATCAAGCAAACAAAGGATGGCATCTTCCTCAACCAATCCAAATATTACAAGGAATTGTTGAAGAAATTTGATATGGATAGTTGCAAGGTGATGTCCACTCCTATGGGATCCGGAACTTACGTTGATCAAGATGAATCTGGTACTCCAATTGATATTAAAAAATATCAAGGTATGATCGGTTCATTATTATATTTGACGGCAAGCCGTCCTGACATTATGTTTAGCGTTTGTTTGTGTGCACGCTTTCAAGCAAGTCCGAAGGAATCACATCTCACCGCTGTAAAGAGAATTATAAAGTATCT